ATAGCTGACCACCTACACGCTCGAAATCATCATGGGCGCATAACGCATTCCAAATATTTATGGTATATTCCGTTCGATTTCAGGTTTAGCCCATGCAAAACCAATTTCCTCTCTCCTGAATATGAGTTATATCTGCATTATGCACGTTCATCTGCTTGTGCTCTGTGAAACTGGTATTCTTGGACGCCGTATCGAATCGGAAACACTTTTAAAATAAGAAACGGGAACACAAAATAAAAATCGTAAAAATTCTTGGTGTCTTGTTGTAACAGCTGATTGAACAACACGACACACACACACATACATACATTCCTGAGAATGTGTCCATCGACTTGTGCGCGCAGCTAAACACAACAGCGCATATTTCATTGACTCTTCGACGCTGTCGTTTCCCGAGCGCAATACGAAGCAGATGAACGAGGATATAATAACCAATTTGTACAAATTTATCAAGATTTATGGCCACATGCCATTTGAACAGTTGAATAAAAAAAAATACGTCGACAGCAAGTCGAAAATATTGGAATGAAAGTGAATTACTGTTCCCGTAGCAGTACAAGGTAAGGAAAAAAATGCATTTTTTTCCTTATATGACGAAGAAAGTTTTTTATGAATATGTTGACATATGTCAAACGATTTTTTTCAAAGAACTTTTCCGTTCGCTTGTTCTTTGGCCGAATTTGAAAGGCCTATGAAGACCATTGAAATATAAAATGCAATTAAATTCAAACGAAATTTGAATGCCATTTGGGAAATGAGGAACAATAGTGGCGACACAAAAAATAATAATACCGGTATGTTGTCCTTTGACGATAAAAGCCCCTGATCAATTTGTTGATAGGTGATGCGGAACATTCAAGAGTCAAGTATACAATGTATTTGCATTTGATGGTGGAACACGCGAATGTTAAACTTTTGACAAGCACCCTTTTTATACTAGCAGTAATATTCATTTGAACATTACGAACCAAAGCAAACATCGAAAAAATGCCGAAACAAAAGTTGTGCATTTTTAATAAATAGAAATTCTAAATTTCATAAATCAAATGCCGAAAAATTGACTTTACCTTCAAACTAAAGTTGAAAACTTTCGGTTTTAAAACAAAATTCGACAATTTTCTACTCTGTCTGGAAATATTTCCAAAAAAAAGTTGTAATTTGTCCAAATGTTGTGGGAAATCAATCCTTTTCAACGTAGGCTTCCAGTCAATTTTTTATTATTGAAGTTGTTTATGATTTTTCATTGAAATGTGTGCATATAAACTTGAAAATGAAACTATAATCCATAACTGCATAGCGTGACGATGGTGATGAAGATGTTGACAAATTTTGTTTGAAACCTTTTGCTTTGCAAAAAAACACTCTCTTTCGTGTGCATTTTGATTTTCATTTTCGTGTTTTCATTCAATGGCAGCGACAAAACGACGTATTATTCATTATTTTGTTGATTAGTTGTGCGAGTTTTTGTGTCACCATGACAACACAAACACATACACCGCACTGTATTATATAGTTTCGAATAATTCGAATTTCTAAAATAATTGTCTATTATTACCGATATGCACGCACGTTGGAAACAAACAATGAAACTAACATTCGAGTAAAACCATCCAAAATAGAAAAGGCCAAACAAATTTGTTTCGATATCGATCATGAGCTGCTGTGAAATTGTGTATGCTATAATTGGCTTCATTTTCGAGACAAAACAAAAATAATTTGAATGAAATAGAAAAAAGTGGCATGTGTTGATGAGTATCGAATCATCTAATGGACAACATCCGTGGACAACCTTTTACCACGTAATAATTTGTTGTATGACAGGTTATATTTTTAAATTACCATGCATTGGCCATCTTTTTTTCCAGTACATTCTCATTTGATAAGATTTTTATTGAAGTACACGTTTCATTGTTAGAGTAGTATGTACTAACTTTCGGTGTGTGGCGTTTCAATGTATACTTTCAGTTCGGTGCTCGTGTTTTATGAGTGAGTATATGTGTTGTATCAATCAATCTCTGTGGATTCACAAGCTTCACTACCATTCGAACAAAGGGAAAAATATGTAATAATTATTTTCCAACACATTGATAGTTCGAGCGGTTGTCAATGTGTGTATTGTCTATGAACAACCCCGTTTTTTTATATCGGATATGAATTGATTGAGTTGGAACGAACGTTGTCCTGGAAACATTATGTTTGCTTGACTAGTCTTCACACATGAATTGCCTATGTTCGACATGTGCTTATGGGTGTGTGTTGATTTGGTTGCATCGATGTTTATGCTCGCACCTTTATAAACAACCACTTATATTCGAAGATGAATGTGCCAAGCCTGTCTGCCGCATCTTTTATGGGAATTAATTTGGCAAATAACAATATAACCATCTTCTCACGTTTTGTTGATACTATGATGGAAATTTATGTCTATGCGGTAACATTGAACCGGTCGAGAAAGTTCAAATTCGGTTTGCACGATCCCATTGTTAGTTGTTGAATTATTTCCAATCCAATTGAAACACATTCACAAGGCATAACGTAACCTCTAAGCCGGGCCCACCACTCATTTCTATATATTTTGTCCATGATCATTTTCTTCGTCACTTGAACTAATAATTGATAATAGCACATACATGAACCACTAAGCACTATAGTGTTCACACTACCGTAAAAAGTTCAGTAACCAATGCTGAAAATTGTGATTATTATACTTGTTTTATCAACAACAAGAACAACAACAACAACGAAAAAAAAAAACCGAACAAAGTAATTATGAACATTTTACGCATGAAAGTATCTTATAACACTCTGATGCCCGTTCGATAACAACAAATTCATGCACACATAAACGTTATAAGCTTAAGTGTACTTTGTACTCGTTTGCTTCCATCTGTAACATTATTTAATTTGAAAGCGAGCAAAAATTTGCGATACTTGCCACATCGAAGTCAAGGAATTTGTGGAAGAAAATCATGAGGCGATTTACAGTGCAACAAAAACCAATAAATTTTCACGTGGTTTAAAGTTTAGAAGGCGCACACACATACACATTAAAGTATTTTATATTGTATCACAGCCAAAGCTGTTGGTGTGCGGCAAATTCGGTTCTTTTTTATCACATTTTCTAAGTCGAACGTTTCCGTTTCTATGCGCTTTAAATGCAGTTTGTGTGTTAAAGTTTGTGAGGTAAAAAGTTTTATCAGATATTCTCGTGTGTTTTTTTCGCCTGAATCTTTGTTTTGATAACATTTGAAGTCTCCTTTCTGCATTCGAGTCTTCCTCTGCAGTTTTCACTTCTGGTCGAGGTATGTAACGGAAATCTTTTGGATGAGGTTACCGAGAGAAAAAAAATAACGCCAACGAAAAATCAAGTAAATAAATAAACAAAACTCAAGTAATACATGAACACATTTTGTTTAACTTTTTACACTACCATACACAACTGTTCAATGGCTAGAAAGGCCAACAGTTCACAGTGAGCGAAATGGTAGTAGCAAAAACAAGGACAAATGTCCAGACCAAACTAAGCCCTCCGAAAATAAACTTTCAAATCATATAAAAAGTAGTTTTTGGTATTTTATCGCATTTATGGTTATCCGATATGGATTTAAAACGGAAAACTTTTCAGTCGTACACAAAAATGGTCTTTGCAGTTGCCATTCGGACAACATGGCCAACACAGATATTACAACCTCTTACAGTTGAATCATTTAATTACATGTTTATGTATATTTTGTCAGTTTATCCATTTTGAAATCGATATCAACATTTTAATAAAATTGTTTTAATGATTTGCATCCAAGGAATGGAAAAAGGTGGTAAATTAATTGCACAATGAGAAAGTATTGAAATAATAAATTCCCATGAAAATGGCCTGATTACATGTGAAAATCGACAGATGGACAGAGAAAAAAGGTATTTGAATTTACACACAAACACACATACAAATTTCATCGACTGAGTGAATCGGTTGAAATGAATTGTCGATGAATATGTGGTTATTAATTTACAAGCTTTGGTTGCTATGAACAATGCATTCAATTGGAAACACAATGAAAAATTCGATAAATCACGAAGTTTCATCGAATCCACCGATGTATCAAATTTCCCGATAATTATTGATAAAATAGTCCTACTTCATTTAATGAACGCATAAATACCATACAATTTAAAATACTCAACGATCATTTCATATCTATTCAAAAACATAATCGTTAACAATTAAAATACAGGCGCCAAGAAATAAATCCATTTTTTTCGTACACAACAAAATGGTCCTAAAATGTGAGAATAATTTTTGGTGTGTATTTCCGAGTACACCGACATATAGTCAACGAGAGAACTAAAATATAGCCGCGGCTTATGTAAATTGAGTGAAATTCACTGTTTTTCTATGGCTGTGAGCTGTCACTGAAAGAGATAACTATCTGTTTGCAACGAGTATAATGTGCGCGCAACAGTAAGAATTGGAAAAAAAGGTGCCTCATAGACATTAAGACGAAAAATAACAAACATATGGTCATGTCGAGTAAAAAAATAATCAGAAGCAAAAAGAGAGTTAAAGAGTTATACCGACTACACGGTATACACACGGTAAAAAGAGCTCATTCAAATAGTTTGAAATTCCCCGCTTTTCGGTTATTTCCTGTTTTCACTCAACTCATATTGAGCGCTTTTTGTGTATACGCTCTTCCGCAATCCGCAACCACTTAACATCCTGCGTGCACAGGTGGGTTTTAATATCTATTGTTAAACACTTTTACCGTCTGCCGTCCGCCGCTTACAACATTTGTTGTGGCCGTTGTCAGAACGTTTTCATTTGCCGCAATCGCGTCTTCAGAACACACAGTCAACATTTCACTCAATTCATCTGCCGTTTGTTTCACACGAATGAGATTCACCGACATACACACATGAGCCAGCGAGCGTTTCAAACGACGACGCAACGTACGGACTTGAATTCAACTCAAAATGCACATTGGATTCTCAGTTGAATATCAGCAGTTGAGTTAGAAACAACGATATTACGGCACCACCAGTTTTTGCACCATTTGAAACCACTGTCTGATACGAATTTCTATCACTTTTCCAAAAGAGTAGTTCCAATTGATAGTTTTCGACCATTTTCAAATACAATTTCAATTGCAATTGGCTACAAATTTCCATTCGAACAGGAAAACGAAGAAAAACAATTTTCAAAAATTCAACGATTTAAAGAAAAAAAATTAACGATTATTTCAGACCACAACCGAGAATTGAACCGTAACGGTGAAAAAAAAAACATTTAAATTGACAAAAAAAAATTGTTAGAAAAATTGTGCGTAAAAAAAACTTAAATTGAAAAAAAAAACGATATACTGCCGAAAGGAAGAAAGAAACGAGCAAATATTGATATTTAAAAGACATTTTCAAAAGCGATCATTAGATATTCAGGTGTTTCAATCACACTAATCAATTCATATCGTACCGTTTTTATCAAATATACATAAATAATAATCAATTTTCTGCGTGTTTTTGTGAAAATAATTAAATAAAATAAATAAATTTCATTGCACATCTTGATATATAAATAAATTTCGATAGCCCTCCAAACAAACAACATCTACAGAAAAAAAAAATTGGTTACACACATTCTGTGTTTTGTGCGCGAATAGTGAATTAGAATTGTGTGCTTTACGAATTAACATAGCGTTAGAAACGTGCAGCAGAAAACAACTATTGTAATTAATTAAAAGAAAAAAAAATCTGCATCGTGTATATGCTCGAACAGAAGCTCAGAGAAAAATTACATAAATAGAGAGAAAGAGAGCGAAAGAAAGAGAAAAAGACGCGATTCGAAAATTAAATACACGGTTATTATTTTGTTATATTCTCGCTCTTATATTGAATATTATAACAAAGAAGGTGCAAAACATTGCATGACTACAGTACATTTAGTCAATATCGGTGTTGTTCTCGGTGGTCTCTCTTAATTCTCATTGGTGTATATTTGTGTATGTGTATATTCTACAATTTGTGACTATTTGCAATTCTATTGTTCACATTTTGAAAATTAAAATACAATCAGACGAGAGAGGAAAATAAGCGAGTAATTTTGCTGAGAATCAGAAACTGAGAAGAAGCAAGAACCGAACGAGAAAGAAAGAGAAGAAAAAAAGTATAATCAAATAGAATTTTATTCATATTCCTAGCGAATAGTGTAAGTTGTATGAGTAATTTTACGATTTTACATGTTTATTCATAGTTTTTTGCGAATGTGATAAAAACCGAATTGCAAATCAACAACAACTCTTCTATATATTGAAGCAACGAAAATCATTTTTCCTGTTCTGTTTCAATTTGTTTTGCTACTTTAACTTCCCTCTCCTTGCCCGTGTGAGGTGAAACACATAAATTAAACCGAGAAAGAATAAAAAAAAACACCTTTTTTATCAACGTAATTTTGTTGAAGAGTTTCAGTGTTTCTGTTGGCTAATTAAATTGGCGATACAGCGAATAAGTAAAACGTACAGAAAAATAATAAGAAGTATAATAAAATAAGTATAGAGACAATTGTTGTTCGTTAGTGTTAACTAGTGATTTTCTTAAATTTAACGAATTGTGCATTTGGAATTTAAAGCCTGATCAATCGAATTCAATTTGGAGAGTGTTTGACTTTTATCAACGCAAGCACGAGCAAAGGTTTGTGTCTCAACATTTTCAAAAGTATAATCTATCACCCCGAAAGCGTTTCAGTTTATTTGACATAATTTTCTATCGTTTTTATAATCAAAATCGGATAAAAAACGAGATGTTATTTGTGAAGTATGTCGAGAGTCCCATAATTGGCTTAAAGTTCCCAAAACCTTTGTACTCTTCAAATTATAAATAAAAAAAATTGGTTGTGTGTTTATATGTCGTCAAGCCTTTAGAAAAATGAGGAAAAAAAGATCATAAGTTGCGATTAGAGGTTGTTCGAACAGTTCAATTGTTTTACGCAATTTGTGTATACGTTGAAAAATTGTCCTCATTACGTTATATACACATTATGTGTGCATTTTTCTATTTAATCTGTCGATCTCTGTACAATTACCAGTAGAAAATTGAAAGAAACAAAAAATCATGATTGAATGCGATAAAGATCAACGGAAAGAATAAATAACGAGAGTTGAAAATCAGCGGTGCCAACTAAAATTGCGATTGATCAAAAACGTTTGTATTTCTCTTTTTGTATTTAGCCCTTTGGTGCATGAAGCAAAACCGAATACAAGTAATAGGTTTTCTATTTGAGGGAAAAAAAACTAACAAATTTCTATTGTCGAATCATTCGGTCACGCGCACACGCGCACGCCTCTTCGATGCCAAAGAGAAAGAAAAACAACAGAAACATAACAAACTAACTGATCGACACAGTACGACGATTTTTTTTCTACTCTCAAACAACAATAGTTTGATGATATAGCTGGGAAGAAACCGACCAACGTACGAGACGAAACTAGTAATTTCATATTGGTTGCACGAAAGATAGATAAAAATGCACATATCAACAAAAACAATTACGAACACACATACACGCTAAATGTAATACATCTGTTATTCGTTTAAAACCACGAACTTTGTAAAACAGAAGAAATGAAAGAACGAACAGAAAAAGACATAACAGTTTTTCTGTGTGTGTGTGTTTTTTTTTCGCGGTCTTTACGAGAAACGCTAATATACAAAGAGAAACTTTTTTTGTATTTAAACATATGTGTTTGATTATGCCCGTTTGTGTTATTATTATTACTCTCTTCATAAACTTTTCTCTCTTAATTCAATTGCATTGTACGTGGTACAGAATTTATTAATTGTACATTTTGGTTTAATTACAGTTAGCATGTTCAACTAAAAATATTGCTATCGAATGTTTTTCTCTCCGGCATTTGCACAGTTATTGATTCATCTGCTGAGTCTTCATTTAACGGCGTTGAATGATCTGTACTAGTCAGCATTGTTTAAAAAAAACATACACACCGTCGTTTGACTGTATTTGTCTCGAAGAATCAATAAAATAATCAACTTTATCGACTGCTACACACGAGTTCGTTATCATTCGGTCGATTCATGAATTATATTCACAATCACACACTTGCTCACATAGTTGCTAATTTCTCGGCAAACTATATAAATGCCTCAAAGGTCAAAGTTGAAACTATTTGAAATAATTTAAATTGCCTTTCTTCATCACTTCTATTTTCGCATGCCATTACGCTCAACGCTATTGACGATAGCTTATTTCATTTACACAATCATTTCAACGCATAAGATACATTGCATAAATTTCATTCAGTCTCTCGCTCTCTCTCTGTTTCACTGCATGCGCCTAACACAAGAGCACACAAAGAACAAAGAATCCATAAAATGAACGAAGTAACAAGCAGTTGAATTCCATGTTGAGTGCGCGCGTGAATTTGGCGTTGATGTAAGACTATATTTCAATAGTTGAAGTGCACGCAAATGAAAAAAAAAACAATAACAACAAATATCAAAAGGCATAACAGCGAGAATGAAAAACGAGCACAAAGAAAATAAAATAAAAATAAAATTCATAATAATAAATTTACATTTATGTTAAAAAGAAATTAAAACATTTCTCATTCGCGCACAAGCAATAAAAGACATAAACAAAAGAGTTGAAAACTCAAGTAGAAAACTTTCACGAGCATTTTAACAAGAGCATAGACACCACGATCAAACAATGCGCGAAGAGAACACACAACATAGCACACACATCCAGTGGCTTCATACTCACACGCAATCTGTATTTGGGTTCACAAAGCAATGATGCTGTTTTACAAGCGTAACAAACAGTAGCTACTAACGAAAAACAACTATTTGAGAGCGAGTAAAAAAAAATACGAAGGCAAAAAGCCACACACTGCATTTCTTTCAGTCACTGGATGTGTGTGTGTGCTTTGAACAAATGTACCATCATTATATACATGGGTGAATGGTTGTACTCGAAAGAAGAAGAAAAAAAATGCATCTAGAGAAATTCCCTAAATGCAGTGCACGAAGACGAAACGAAGCAAATGCAATTCGCAAAATGCGCGATTTAAAGTGGTCGGATTGCACAAACACACATATACGAAAACTTTTCAAGAAAATATAATCCACTACAGTCAAGTACTTTTCCTTCGCTAGTTTGAGGAATAAGAATGAAAACGGAGAGTAAAAAAACACAGAGAGAAAAAAATACAAGATTAAAATATGTTGTGCTCGATTTTCAAACTCACCGGTGCCGCATTTCGTGGAAAGTAGCATTATTCATGAAAAATTCGACAATTTTTTTTTAAACGGAGCGAGGAAAAAGTTAAAATTTAACATTCGTTTTGACGGTTTTATGCACATATTTAAGTGGTTGAGTGCCAGGATTTAGCGATCAACGAAACGTCGAGCGCAAGAATGAGATAGATGGGAAAAAAGGTTATGCTCATAATCAGTACGAAGACATAATGAACTTGATCCCGTCCCTGCATAATGCCTCAGTCATTTTTCATTGTCGTAATTTGTTCGCGGAAGCGTAACAACACAAAACATTTTTAATGTGTAAAAGGTTTAATTACCGGGCTCTATTCGAATGGCAGAAAAGATCGCCTCGTGTGTTCATTCCATGTTTCATATGTCGCGTAAGTCATTTGAGCGCAAGTCGTCAATACCTTTCTCATATAATTCACGAATAAAGTGTGTTGTTTGTGTGTGGCGTTTTTGTGCGTACGCATGTCGACTGCATGCGTATGACTTTTGGTTTTCTTCTTGAATCATCATTTGATATCTTAGTTCAAACCCACAGAGAGTTCAACAGCTGTTTTCGAGTATCTTTTTCTATGAAAAAAACACAACAACAACAAGAAGAATACATCTTTTATCAGAGCACATGATCAAATTCTCTTTCGTAATAATGTTGCTGCTCAAATCCTCGCAATGATAAAAATGAACTAACAAACCATGTTATGTGTCAAAGCAGAACAAAAGTGCTACAAAAGAGAGATAGAATAAAAAACCCGAGAGAAAAGAACGAATTTTATGTCATGCATTGTTCAGGTATTCAGAATGTTTTTTTTCTTCTTCTCTTAACTCTCTTCCTTTTCACATATACACGCATTTCGTGAGCGCACTTGAGCTGATGTGGTGAATCGAGCGGCTGGTGCGTGTGTATTGTGCCTCATGAAGTACATCAGTGTGGCATTAACTTTATACGATATAAAAATGTGTTTTTATTCGTCTTCTTCATCATCGTGCCACAGCTCATTGTTTTTTATTCTCGCTTACACTTTGCGTTTTGTATGTTTTTTTTTTATTGTAGCTAGCTGAATATATATGAACTTCCTCTTGGTATTTCGTGCATTTTTGTTCTGTATTCCGTATGTAGTTCGTGTGCGTTTGATGGAGAGTCGTTTTATAAATTCGACATGTTATATTATAAGCAGCCCGTATTTTTATTCATTGAATTCATATTTTTTGTATGAAGCTTCATTTGGTCGTGGTTCCTCTTTTTAACGTGTACTCAAATGCTGTTGTTTTATATCTATCTGTTGACTAACAAAAAAAAATGAGGTACCCCACTTGGATGTTTTGAATTCACATTGTACTTCAACTTGTACTTGACGTGCGCAAAAATGACAACTCACACACTCTCATTCCTCTGTTCGTTCGCGCAGTTTGCACAGCACCAAAATCTACTTTTGAAACAAAAAAGAATAAATTGAGCGGCGCATAATAACAAATGTTGATGATGGAAGTGTTAGTATTGCCACTGTCATTACTACACATTCGTTGGTGTTTTTTTCTTCTTCGTCGTCTCTTGTGTGTTACTTTTTGAGTCGCGTACTCATGTGAGGCGGCGAACACCGAATACACTTGTACTTGGACGTATTGAACATTATTCTCATATACAAATATACACAGAGAGATTGTGTTACTTGTAGCAAAGGCTTTTAAGGCAATGGCATTGGGTGGATCAACGCTAATGTTACTTCTATTCAATCATTTTTGCTTTGTGTTTCGTTGTTGCTCATTCCGCTCAACGTTCTCGTCTAAGTCTTGTGTTCAAACGACCGACCGACCGACCGCACGCTTGTGTATCTTTAAATGAACGCTCTAGAATAAAAACAACTTATTGTTTAGTCGCATATCGAA